CTTCTAAAGCCGGCAGTGGACTATAACGTCAGCTATCGTGCAAAACAAAGAGGTTTTTAATTCTCTTCACGTATCGTCAGTTTAGTGACAAAAAAGGTCGGTCTCTTTTTGTGCTGACTCTTCTGCCTTCTGTTGGGATCTTATTTGACTTTTTATTAAAGTTTCTTCCCGTATTTACAAACAAAACAAAGATAAACCATGAGGAGAATCAAGCTGGTGATAAGAATTCCTTGTTCACCAAACTGGTTCAGGTACTCACCCTGTTTACCGAACAATTGATTACGTTGTTTAATACTGTCCGCCACTAAAATATTCCTATTCTTTACATCAAAGAGACCCCGGCAGCATAGTCAATGATTCTTCCTAGTTATCACCCTCTCTATCAAACGATCTTAAGCAAATCCCAGCACTACAACATCATCTGTTCAGTTCAAAAGACGCACAAGTCTTTGTTAATAATCTATACAACGGACAGATGAACATTTGTTTCATTATTCTAGGATTTTATAGAAATCTCTGAAAGTATCCTTGAACTCGCCCCAATCATGGTTACTTGTCTCGTTTGAGTACGGGCCTAACGATTGCCTGGAGGATTCGCGTCACGCGTCGTGATTTCGACACGAACAACGTGACTGTTTTGCAGTCTATTGAGAGACCCATGTCTACAAACATTTCCGCTTTAATGAATTTGAAATTTTCTCCTGGCTTAGNTTTAGTGACAAAAAAGGTCGGTCTCTTTTTGTGCTGACTCTTCTGCCTTCTGTTGGGATCTTATTTGACTTTTTATTAAAGTTTCTTCCCGTATTTACAAACAAAACAAAGATAAACCATTAGGAGAATCAAGCTGGTGATAAGAATTCCTTGTTCACCAAACTGGTTCAGGTACTCACCCTGTTTACCGAACAATTGATCACATTGTTTAATACTGTCCGCCACTAAAATATTCCTATTCTTTACATCAATGAGACCCCGGCAGCATAGTCAATGATTCTTCCTAGTTATCATCCTCTTTATCAAACGATCTTAAGCAAGTCCCATCACTACAACATCATCTGTTCAGTTCAAAAGACGCACAAGTCTTTGTTAATAATCTATACAAGGGACAGATGAACATTTGTTTCATTATTCTAGGATTTTATAGAAATCTCTGAAAGTATCCTTGAACGCGCCCCAATCATGGTTACTTGTCTCGTTTGAGTACGGGCCTAACGATGGCCTGGAGGATTCGCGTCACGCGTCGTGATTTCGACACGAACAACGTGACTGTTTTGCAGTCTATTGAGACGGCCATGTCTACAAACATTTCCGCTTTAATGAATTTGAAATTTTCTCCTGGCTTAGTCTTCGTATTTAAAGA